AAAGGAATCAAAAAAATATATCAATTCATTTTCCATCTTCTTCCTTACAAGACTCCCCCTGTTCAAGCGCCGAAGCGAAAAACGAAAGAAAACAAGGAAAACAAGAAAAACTTGATTCATTCTTAATCCTCTTATATATATCGTCAAACAGAGCTGCGCGGTAAACCGTAGGGGCAGAGAGGGAGGGAGAAGAGGACATCAAACGAACGAGGGCCTGTGACAAACTGTTTCGTCGGAGTTTCACCTACCTACTCATCAGGAGGCTGAATGAACCCTATATGAGTCGGTGAAACTCCGACTCAACTGTTTGTCACCGCCCCTCGTTCGTTTGTTGTCCTCTTCTCACTCTCTGCCTACGGTTTACCGGGCAGTTCTGTTTGACGATATATATTGTCACAAAGTTATCAGAGCGCAAAAGCGAAAAAGAAAAAAGGAAACAAAAAAGATATCAATTCATTTTTTATCTTATTACTTACAACTCCCCCTGTTCAGAACCTCTTGCGTACAAGGTCGCCCACGTGGATGTATATATAATTGCCTTCAACAAAAGACAAGTGTATTCCCCAACCCTTCCAAATGAAGCATTCTGACTCGGCGTATCATGCAAATGAAAAGAGGGGAAGGGCCCGTGTGAAAGGGGGGAAGGGGATGAGGAAACGGAAAAGGGGGAAAGGGGCCGTGTGAAAGGGGGGAGTGAACGATAAGGGGATGAGGAAACGGAAAAGGGGGGAAGGGGCCGTGTGAAAGGGGGGAGTGAACGATAAGGGGCCGCATTGTGGCGGAGTGAACGATAAGGGGATGAGGAAACGGAAAAGAGGGGACAGGAACAACGAACAGGACGGGAGGGAGGCGGGGAGGGAGGCAGGGCGAGAGGGAGGGAGGGAACGAGGGAAGGAAGGGGGAACGAGCGCGTCGCAGATATGATCCATTTGCCCGGGATACGACTGTTTTACACACAACCACCTTCTCCTGCTCTCATACATTCCAACTTCTTCCACGTGTCCCATAATCAATATCATTCAACTTATCGTCTCTCGTCTTGCCTTATCCTGTTTTGGCATCGCCTTAAATCGTCTTCACCCTCCAGGTTCACCGCACTTTCCCACCCGAGTCTTCCTCCTGTTTCTGCTCATCCACTTCTTGAACCTCCTTTTCGCTATTTGTTGAAAGCAGAACTGATCGCACAGGTCACAGCTCCTCTTCTCCTCCTCCTCCTCCTCCTCCTCCTCCCTTTTCCCTTCCGTTATTCTTCTCCTTCTCCTCCTTCTCCTCCGTCCTTTCCTTCCCTTCTTCTTCTTCTTCCTTCTTCTTCTTCTTCTTCTTCTTCTTCGACGACGACGACGACTCCGTCCCTTTTTCTTCGACGACGACTCCTACTTCTTCCTTTCCTTCCCTCCTATTTCTTCGACTCCTCCGCGCAATCCACAAAATAAAAATAAAAATAAAAATGAGAAGAAGCGCCGTCATTCTTGCTATTTAGGAAACGGCTGATCACCGACACGCATGCCACTGAGCAAACGCATCCCAAAATGGCTAAACCAACGGAGACAACAGAAAGTAAGAGGGCTGGTAGGCCCCCAGGGCGGGGTGGGAGAGGGCACGGGGCGGAGAGAAGGGGCAGACAAGACACGGGGAAAGAGAAAAGAGGTAGTACCAGAGGACAGAGGGGGTGGAAAAGGGAGAGGGAAGGGATGAGAAAGAAAAGCCTAATGGATAACGGGGAAGAGAGAATTGCATGATGATAAGGAGGAAAACGAGGAAGTAAATACCCGGGAGAAAAGGAAGAGAGAGAGAGAGAGAGAGAGAGAGAGAACGGGCAAAGCAGAGAAATGAGTTAACCAAAATGGGTGCAAGATAAAGAGCATCGTGGGAGAGAGCGGGGTAGAGCGAGTAATCGCGCGAAACAATGGGAGGAAGGAAGGCGATTAGAGCGAGAGACAGAAGAAGATAAGGCAAAGACACACGATCGAAAAGCCACCCTTCTTCCCTGGAGCGCAACACCCCGCAACTATTTTTTTTTCTTTTTTTTTCCCCTTTTATAAAAATTTGGACCATTTCTCGATTTATGCGTGTCATCCTTGAAAGCGCAGGGGCCATGCTAATCTTCATTCTCTGTATCGTTCCAATTTTAACGAATGTCCAGAAGGACTCAATACCCTGCAAATATTGCTGCGGGTATCTGTACCTTTTCTTAGGCTGGGTACACATATAATGACCGGGCGTTGTGTTTGGGGAGGAAGAAGGTAGTCCGGCTACCGTCTTCCCCCGAACATAACGCACCCTTAAAATGAATGTATACAAGGTATATTTCCGGCCAGATACAGCCAAAATGAGGGTGCGTTGTGTTCGGGGGAAGACGGTAGCTGATCGAAACACAGCCAGAACACCCGAGGAATCCATCATAGAGTAAACGAGTGCGTCGTATTGACGTCCCGATGCAGTGCACGTTGCGACACGTAAGCACACCATGACACGTAAGCAGATCTTAACACGTACGCAAGCAGATTATGACATGCAAGCACGTCATGACATGCAGGGAGATTCTGAGAGGAGTAACGGTAGGTTGTTTGTCCGGGTACACGTCCGGGCGATCGGCCGGACACGATCCCCGCGCTGGGATCCCTGATCCCCTGCCCGGGTTAGGTTCGTGCCCGGCTGGGCACCCAGGCGTGTATCCGGGCGCAAGTTCGGTGCTGCACGCCCGGGCGAGCCAAGTAGCCTATAAAAGCCTAGTAGCAATTTATGAAACACGTAAGCAGGTTGTGCTCTAAACCCGCAATATAGTATTTTCAAGCGCGCACTTCGCGCGTGGAGATTTGACCATTTCATGATGCGAACACTGTTCTCTGCTCTACACGTGGCGCTTTCTTCTTTTTCCAAATACCTACCAACCTCGTGACCGTCAGATGCATCTCATCATATATCCAAAGACCGACGTCCCGATTCGATCATCCACTAGCTTCCTCCCACTCTTGTTTTCTTTTTCACACCTTGTCTTGCCTTTCTTCTTTTTTTTTTCCTTTTTCTTTTTTTTTCCTTTTTTTTTCTTTTTTCTGTGGGCCAAACAAGAGCTCGCGCAAAGTAGGCCCCCAGCCAATCAGTCCTTCAGAGAGAGAGAGGTCACCCACCGACAAGATCGATCGACTAAGACGATGATGACACGGGCGGATCCGATCTGATTCGATCATGCGACCAATCAATCAATCAAACAACCATAAGAAGACGCGATCCCGTTCCACAAAACGGTAACCAAAAAAAAAAGAAAAAGATATACATAGCAGCCATATGCTGACGATTAAAAAAAGACAATAAAAAGACGCGATCCCGTTCCACCAAAGGGATGCAGTTAACGCTCATCCCTTATAACTTTTTCTCTGCTCCACACGTCCAACAAATGGTTCAGTCAAAAAAGACGACGAGAGGAGGAGAGGAGGCGGAGAGGAGGAGAGGAGGCGGAGAGGAGGAGAGGAGGATGTGAGGAGGAGGAGGCGAGGAGGAGGAGCAAAATGAAGCACAAAGAAGACGGAGAACAGGAGGAAATGTGAGAAAGAGGAAGACAAGCAGGATGGTGACGAGGACCATATTGCAATCCGACGAGGGCGGGGCGGGCGATCAAAAGAAGTGTGGGAGGGAGGGCCATTTACAACCGATGAAGACGATGGAGAGAAGGAGATGAACGGGAGCAGTGAAGAGGAAGACGAGAAGCACAGAAGGCAGAAGGGGGTGAGGCCGAGAGGAAAGGAGGATAAGAGGACGAGAGAGGAATGAAGGCGACGAAGCGGAAACGGAGCAAGAGGGAAGAAACGGTGCAACGAGAGAAAGTGGATATGTAAGCCCAGCAGCAGGACGAGGCGAGGAAGAGGTAGAGGGAGAGGAGGGAGGGGAGGGAGAGGAGGGAGGGCAGGAGAAAGTGGAGGCAGAGGAGGGAGGGGAGGGAGAGGAGGGAGAGGAGGGAAAGGAGGGAGGACAGGAGGAAGCGGAGGCAGAGGACAAGAAGAGGAGAAGGGGGGAGGAATTGGAGGACGGAAAGGGGGAAGAAGAGTAGGAAGAGAAAGAGGGAGAGCGCAGCAAAGGGAGGAGGTATAGGGGAGGAGGACAGGGAGGAAGAAGAGGGAGGCAAGACGAAAAGGGGAAGAAGAGGAAGAAGAGGACGAGGTAGAAGGGGGGGAGGAAGAGGAGGAATAGGGAAGGAAGAGGACGAGGAAAAGGATGAGGAAGAGGACGAGGAAGAGGAGGAAAGGAAAAGGAGGAAAGGAAAACGAGGAACAGAAAGCAGGAAAAGCAAGAGGACGACGACGAAAACGGAAGGAAAGAAGAAGAATAGGGGGAGGAAGAAGGGGGGAGGAAGAAGGGGGCGAAGAGGAGGAAGGCAAGGAAGAGGAGAGAGGGGGGCGAGACGGAGAGAGAGAAGCAAGAGGAGGGCAAGGACGAAGAGGAGGAAGGGACGAAGAGGAGGAAGAGACGTGGAAGAGGAGGACGAATAGGAGAGGTATGAGGACGAAGAGGGGGAGGAAAACGAGGAAGAGGAGGAAGAGGAGGAAGAGGGGAGGAAATACTACCGGTAGGAATTGCAATCTTGCTGGGAATACCGCTCTACCGTCTTCCCCCGAGCACGACGCACCCTCATTTTGGCTGTACCTAACCGGTAATATAGCTTGTATACATTCATTATGAGGGTGCGTTATGTTCGCGGGAGAATGGTAGGAGAAGGAAGAGAAGGAGCATGCCGAGGAGTCGAAAGACGATGAAGAAAAGACTTGTTCAAGAAGAAGCAAGAACGAGAACAACCGCTAGAAAAAGACGTCACGAACGTGAGGAGGAGAGGAAACCGGCGTAAACGCGAGAGGAAGAGAAGAAAGCCAGAAAGGACAGATGACAAAATACCCCCTCTCTCTTCTCCTCCCCCCCCCCCACCCCACCCCCTTGAAATTGACCTGCCTTAAGGCCCTTAAAGGCAAAAACACCCGATGCCATCTCATGCAGAGTCAGGAGGTAGGTACCTGGCCGACGAAATTGGCGTGCATGACGATGAGCACGACCAACAACACAACCGCATTGAAGAGGCAGACGAACTCCAGCGTCTCCCTGAATCCTGGAGTAAGCACTCTGGCTAGCATCCCTGACAGTCGAGCATGAACCCTTAAGAAAGCCTGTTCTGTATCCATTGCGCGCCGAGCCGATCTAACCAATAGAGAGCACTTTCCTTCCTTGGTTGCGACTCCCCTCCCTCCTTCCCCTCCCCTCCTTCACCTCCCCTCCTCCCCCCCTCCTTTCCCGCCTCTCACTCCTCTCGCTCTCTCCTCGCAAATGATCGTATGATGCTCAGAATCCAACCACCGTCCTTTGGCCTATACCATGGCTGACGCATCATTTGCTTGATTGCCTCCGGTCTGATTGCTCTATCGAGTACCCGATCGTCTGACAGGATTGGATTGGTCGATCGGGGTTGGTTGGTTACAATAGTTTGGCTAATGGATTGATTGATTGATTGGTCAATTGATTGGTCAATTGATTGGTCAATTGATTGGTCAATTGATTGGTCGATTAAGATGATTGATTACTTAAGGAGTGATGGAAGTGATTGATTGGTTGGTTGATTGGCGGCTTGAGCGAATCAGCAAGTGATGGACGAACGGAAACGAGTGAACGATTGAGTTGTGCCGCCGAGTGGAAGCCTTTGCTTCTTTTTATGATCCTGATAGCTACAGGATTGCCTGAGATCATCTATCAATCAATCCTACTAATTAATCCATTTCGAACAGAGTGACCTCTCCAGCTCAAATTTTCCGGTCGCAAACAGTCCGACCGACCTCCGCCATCAATCGGCGATTTCCATTCATCCTCTCTCTCTCTCTCTCTCTCTCTCTCTCTCTCTCTCTCTCTCTCTCTCTCTCTCTCTCTCTCTCTCTCTGCTCCTGGGGTACTAACTAACCACAACCAAATAATTTCAATCATTCTCTGTTACGCGCACGCTAGACGACTTCCGGCTCAGCAGCTCCACGTAAGGTTTCCTGGGATTAGCGAAAAGCAGCCCTCTCCCAATATACGGAGCCATCATTTCAGTAATCGGGGGAACCAACGAATCACCGAGCGACTTTCAACTAGATTACGGAGGCTCGCCCCCCCCCCCCCCCCTCCCCCTCCCCCCCYCYCGMGGCCTGMCCMCSCACCCCMMYCAGCTTCCATTCACCAAACGCCGACTCCCTAATTAATTTACAGCGCACTACTCTCATTAACGGCGGGCCAATTCAACGGCAGCGCCAACTTAACGGCGGGCCAACTTAACGCCGGGCTCGAGTCGTGGTCCTCTCATCGTATCCAGGAATCCTTCCTACCTCCTCGACCAAGGAGCCTGACCACCCAATCCAATGTCCCCACCTGACCCCTTACTCCCTCCCTCCCTCCCTATCCTTACCCGACCCTACCACATGGCGCTACGTGTGCACCTCTCCTCAAGCGCACTTGTACGAATCAACACCCCTACCTCTTTGCGATCCACCGTGTATACGTACGACTCCACACGAGCAACGACCGCTCCACCGTGTGCACCTACACCACTCCAGCCCAGCGGCCGACAAGCGGACCCGTCGGCGACACCGAAAGCCCCGTGATCAACTAAAAGCGATACGCACCACAGTCACTCACTCTCTTGCCCCCATTCCTTCTTTTTTTTTTTTTTTTTACCAAAATCATTCCGTTCGTTCCTTCGTTTAGAGCGCATTGCGCACCGCCGATCGGGAAAATAAAAACGAAAAAAAAATCGACTTCACTACACTACTTAAATTCTGGTGTCCGGAAGTCCATGGCCGTCAGATGGGCCATCGTTCGTCGATGTAGAAGCGACTATGAAAGCCGACTGTCCTCTCACCCGTCGTCGACCCCCCCTGTACTCCATCTCCCACTCAACTGGAGTCACCTCCACCTCCCCCTCCCCCTCCCCCTCCGCGTTCTGGTGCACCAGGTGATCAAGCCGCCCTTTCTCTCTCTTCGTCCCTGCTCCTCCCTTACCCAGACTGACCAGATTCCCTCCTCCTCCTGCTACTACTGCCACGCCGCCGTAGCTGAACCAGCAATCAGCTCGCAGGCCTTGACCAGGGGCTAGGTCCCACTTACACGAATTAAGCGATATTGACCGTAGATAGCAGAGATCAACGGCTAGAATCTCTTAATCCGTGAAAGTGGGACCATGCCCCAGGTGGACGGCGCTGGTCGGCCCCTCCACACTTCGTCCGACAAGGACAACCTGACCAGATGGAATCCCATCGGATGCGTTGGCTGCCTGCCACGTGTCCTACCATCCACAGTCTGGTGACAAGTGACGCACAAGGACGAAGAACCACAAAATTGGGCCTCGCTCCACTACCCTCCACATGCACAAAAGAGAAAAACTATGGCGGTGTATCGTTCCATGTTCTCGCGCCGGATTCCGTCTCATTTTGCACATTTTCTATTTCTACGGTGTCCTCTCGAGACACCGGCACCGGATTCTCAAGATGGGAACAACCTTGACGTAATCTGGCCGCGGTCCAGGCCAGATACCACATGATAGACGACCTACCATCCCGACTCCTGACAGGCTTGCGATCAAGGATGCCAGTAACGACAGCGATGACGAGATGGATCGAAAATACGAAAAAGAGCCCGAAGTCCGAATGAGCAAACCCCGCCCCCGCCAAGAGTCCGAAGCCCGAAAATGGGCAAACCCCGCCCCCGCCAAGAGCCCGAAGCCCGATAATGGGCCAAACCCCGCCCCCGCCAAGACAAGACAAAGTAAAAGAAAAAGAATAAATGAAAAAGAAAACAGATATGCAGATCGGTACCGCTGCTTTTTGCTTTGTGTTTTTCCATCGGACCGCTAAGTCTTGCCCCCAACACAACGCACCCTCATTTTGGCTGCTCCGGGGCTAGGTCCCACTTACACGAATTAAGCGATATTGAGCCAAGATCAACGGCCAGATTCTCGTAATCCGTGCAAGTGGGACCTTGCCCCCGGGCCGCAATGATACCTTGTATGGATTCCTTACCAGGGTGCTTTGTGTTCGGGGGACGATTGGTTCTGACAAATCCAGAAAGATTCTGGGAATCCTGTGCCGTGGAGCGAGGCCCTATGATGCCCCAAGCTGTCTATGAGAAAAGCCTCGAGCCGAAGGTAGGCTGATAACCTCTCAATGGTTGTATTGATGGAAGGGGCGTCGTATAGCCCTGACAGACCCCCTCCCCTGTCTGGATTGTTTTATGTTTCAACTGGGGGATTACTGTGTTGCAATAATGACTTTTGATCAGGCTGTTCACTGTAAGAACCCCGCCTCATGGGAGACCTCGCTGCCACCCACAACTCCCCCCCTCCCAGATCACCCCTGCCTCTCCGCACCCCCCCCTCCTTCACAACCATTACCCTCCACCCCAGCCTCACCAATGCTGCCCCCTGATTGATCCTCCCAACTCCGCAGCGAGCAGGTTATCTATACCTACCATATTTGGCCTGGCGATGCATGACTTCAGGATACAGCGTAACTGAACAAACATCAGAACATCGGAACATCTGCATTGTCTGAGAGTACTACACAGGCAGTACAGAACAGCCAAGACAATACCACTGTGTACTGCGCACGGCGCGGAGGCGCAGCCCGGAGGGTGTGGGGTCTTGGAGCACATTTTGGAGACCCCACCGGCTGACCCTCCACCCCTCCCAAACGCCCCCCACTTTCCCGTTTCCCTCGGAGTCCACAGTTTTCTCGATTTCTCGAACTCGAACTTTGCCTGAAGAAGAAACCCCACCACCTGACCCTCCACCCCTCCCAAACACCCCCCACGTTCCCGTTTCCCTCTACACTTTCTCGGTTTCTCAAACTCAAACTTCACCTGAAGAAGAAACCCCTGGGCGCCATCCAAAAAGACCTCTGCATGACCTCTACAGGCTACCGCTGGTCGCTCGGTTTTTGCCTCTACTGCGACCACCTAGACAACCGGTCGGTTTTACGACAACGACCGCACCCTTCTGCTCCATATTCCCCCCCCCTCTACACCACTCTAAAACCCAAAAAGGTCGTCGACATTTCCCGATCGGGAAGCCCGCTGCGTGCCAAAAAATGCAACGGGGTATAGCGCAGCCTCCTGGATGCCAACAGCCGGAGAGCTGAGGGAGAAACATGGAGTCACAGTTAGCATATGGTCTGTAGTAAGAATACACCTTTGACATCACTATGCAACTATCACACAACTGACACAAATGATGCAGGTTTCCCCGCAGAACTGTGCCTGCAGCAGCATTGTATGATATGTCTCAGCTCCCCTGCCTCTCCAATCAGAATCTGTAACTGTCACACAACTGATACTACTGATGCATGATTGCCCGCAGAAATTGTAGCTACAGCAGCATTGTACAAATTCTACTGCCCTGTCAGGGCTATCAATACTGAAGGACTGAGTGCTTCCACGTCTAAGTGTCACAAACTGTGTTACAAACTCTGTTGCAAATCCTGTACAGGGACGCTGGACCCGATTGTCCAGCAGGTGCTGCCCCCCACCGATGGATTGGGGCCTCCAATGACACTACTAGGTGGGGATGCTAATATCACCCCCCCTAGTAGAGGTCACCGGTGTTTCTCCAAAAAAAAAACAAAAAAAAAAAAGGAGATAGTGGCTTGCAATTTGATATTAGATGAATGTATAACTCTGAGCTCTGATATAGTTTTATAGTAGCTGTCTTTTAGCTAAATGCTCACTTCTGTGCCCCAAGTTGATTTTTTGGAAAAGGCCGGATGGGCAATGGGACGCTGGACCCGGTTTCGAGCACGAGCCTAAACTGGGTAATTGGCCCAGTATTTCCAGGCTGAATTGTGAGGTCCCCGTCCTCGTCTCATTGATGGAATCAAATGTGAATGCCTATTCTTTATATATATAAAAAAAAGCCTTGAGTGAAATGCAGTGGCCTTCGATGCCGGTAGAGCAGCAGAGCATACTCACATTCATGCACAAGAAGCATGCACAAGGACTTCCTTCTATGTATCTGACTTTCTTCAATGCATCTGAATCTGACCGCTATTACAGCCCCGCATAGAAGTCCAAGAAGTCCTGGTGTGCATATGGCTGATCCAAGGATGACGTCATTCTTCCCTTGAGAATGACAACCATTGTCTATAAACCGACTGGCAACGATTGTACGTACAAACCGACTGCCGGCAAACTACTTCTGTAAATGTAGGGAGACGCATTTCCCTTTTCTTTTTTCTTTTTTTAATGAGGCGATGGTGCTAGGTGAATTCAGAATGGTAGTATTTTACTCATCTGCTTCCAGTGGAGTTTGAACTTGGTGCGCATTTTCTTCTTCTTTTTTTCTTTTTTTTTTCTCACTTCTCCTTCTGTTCGCCGGGAGCTGCACGCGTGGGAACCGGGCCCAAAGTCCCTTACAAAGAATATTTGAGGCCAGGGTCCTCCCAGTCTACCCCAAAGGAATAAGTACGGAGAGCAATACTCGGCTTAGCTTTCACAGAGATGAGCAAATAACAGTAAAGAATATTGGAAGTTGTTGTCCACCTGCTGGTGGGTGCAGCTCCGGTGGCTGCTACGGGGAACCCGTAATACTATAATGACAATAAAAAAAAGGGCTGAATGGCCGTCCTGTCCAGATTCGACAGGTGATTGAATTGGTTGGGTTAGCCTTTTTCTTTGTTAAGTTGTTGTAGCAGTGATGTTGGTTCCTGGCAATCGTATACTGGGGGTGCTGTGAGAAGTTCATTGAACCTTATCATTTAGAGGAAGGAGAAGTCGTAACAAGGTTTCCGTAGGTGAACCTGCGGAAGGATAATTGACACGTGAATGGCCGATCTTCGGGGTGTTGGACGCTGGCTTGCTCGCCCTTTCGCCGCCCTTTGCCCCCCATCCTCC